TCGTAATCGACCGCTGATATCGCTCGACCTTCTCCCCTACCTCTGTCATAGTTACCGCCGCCCTCGGATGGCTCGCTCTTCTCATCGGTGCAACTGCTGTTCGACCGTGGTGAGCTTCGCTCCGAAGCGCCCTCCCCTTTCGTGGTCATCGTGTCTCTGCAGGCCGGCGGGCTCAGGGAAGAACTCGATACGTTATGGCAGTGGAAACCTTGAGGCCTAACTGTGCCGGAGCGTTGCTCTTTGTGTGCCGTTTCGGCATGGTGGAAGAGGGCCTTCAACGCCCCCACGTCGTAGTACGGTGGGACTTGTTCAGGCTGTTCGTCGACAGGGGGCGCGTCTGGGATGCCGGGGGCGTCGACCACGGATCTGGCCGAACACCGAAGAGGGGACGCGACGCCGAAGTAAAATTTCACCGGAAATTCGTGATATTGGTGGGTAAGTTGGCATGTTTGTGTGCAACCAATTTCCGTGCGCAACGTCGGCCATGTCTTTCGTGCCTGGTGCGTCTGGCGTCAGCGTGGCTATAGAATGCCCTTTGAGAAATGATAATGTGTGTTCGAGCGAGGGAGCTGAAGGGTATGCACCATATCGCCAACCGACGCGGGATGCCCCTGGTCCCACGTTGCACATGCACTGGAAACCATCTTGAGGACAAGAGGAGGGCGCATGACCAATGAGCAAAAGCGCGACATCAAGACCTTCCTCTTCCTTCTGCATACAAACCTTGGGACACCTACATATATCCCAAGCTATTTTGTCCGTGTACTCTGGGGCACCTTCCTTTCTTCATCCTGAGCCTCATGGCTGCGCGGACGTGCCTCGCCTTCCTCTGGAAAGGGCTCCTCGCGTTGTCGCTGCCTTCACCTGCCTCGTCCCTCCGCCCCGCCTCTTCCGACGTCATCTCCAAAGCGAGAGGGCCGCCGCCGCCGCCGCCCCGACTTGCTGTCCCGTCGGAAGTAAAGTTGGTCGGAGTGTTGCGGTGGCGAGGGTCTCCTACGGCGGCAGGTGGCTCTGGTCCCGCCACGTCTGGGTAGAGGCGGCGGAGCCGACCCGCTGCGGAGATGGCCACGAGGGACAGCACCTCCACAAACTGTGGGTATGACATTCCAGCCGCTGAGGGCTTCGTCGCCGCGGCGTTTCTGTCCGATGAGGGCCCACCCTGCCAGACAGATCCGGGATCATGTGTCCGTAGAGGCGTCGTCAGTACAGTCAAGCAACATCCAAAGCATTGCTGTCCCCGCCTACTATACTGTAGCTGCACGTTTGTGCTGCAAAACTAGGGAGATATGGCAGTTGTCGTCGTCAAGGAACAAACCATACCTGCGGCGATCAAAGGTTGCATGTTTCCGTAACTATACTAGAGTTCTCATGGGGGTGCGTTTGATTCCGCGTCTGTCTTTTATCGAGAGTTATCTCCGGTCGCTCTTGATGCGCTCGTCTTTTGCGCACCCACGTGTGAACTTACACCCCCTCGTTGTGCTCTTGGACAATTCACGACAACACCTGGCTCCCACCAACTTTACGGAGAGCTCAAGTCATCCACTGCCTCGCCACCAAACTATTAATCGTTTACGTCGCGCATCCAAGTCGTAGGCAGAGGAGGGCACGAGAAATAGTTAACCCACCAGACCTTCCAGGTAAACCTAACATAAGTGAAGTCACCTGCCCGATGCCTCTCTCAATACGATGTGGTGCTACCGACACCTGCTCCACCGCAGCTTTCAGAGCATCAAGCCCGATGAGCCGGGGGACAAGCTGCAGATCCGACGATGCCGCTAGGAAGCCGGTCCAGTGTATCCGACGCGCTTTCGAGATGGCGGTCTGCTCTTGGCTTCCTTGTCTGGGAGACGGTGGCCGCGTCCAATATTGGGTGGCATCGGTGTTACCGCCTTGTCGGGGAGGAGAAGCCGATGATTCACCTGCTCCCCAAATCAGGAGAGGAAGCGATGTTCGCGTTGTGAAGGTTCCTCGTTTTGATCGTCACTTGATTCACACACGTACGCATGTTTTTGACACAAAAAAAGTGGTACACAAGTGGTGCGGCGTGGGGGGGCAAGGGAGCACGAAGATCGCCGGACGATTAGGTCCAAATATCCATGTTCTGGGTGACATGTTCTGGCGGATAGACATATTGTTAGGATGCCGATGTTCCACGGTGCTCCCTCTCATTGGTGCACTCGGGTATCAAGGCGTTGCTGTTCCCGGCGTTTGCGCAACCGCGAGTTCCTGGTCTTGGTCGCCTTGATCGAGGCTTTGAGGGACAACTGAATCCGCGACAGCATCGGTTGACCGTAGTCTTTTCGAAATCGCTATCGATCTGACAACAGACCCAAGGTGCTGCGGCAAAGAGGAGGGTCAAGTTTCGACCGATATCGTTGCGCACTAATAGAATATGTATCTCGTACGCGGGCACGAGAGTATGCAAGCAGTCGAGGTTGACTTGCCACCCCCCCTCCAGACTATATGCGCTCACCATAGATGGCGAAAAGATGGTTTGTGAATGATCTCTTGGACAGGAGAAAGGAGCACACATCTTCGCGTACCAGATGAGGGCATACTCCATGTCGAGCCGAGACCGATGGCTTTTTGTTCGTGCACATGCCGTACAGCAGGTACAACGAGACACACAAACAAGAGAACGGTGTATGTGTGAGTAGCAGCTCGTAGGCTGAACAAATGGATGGGGGGTTGTTTGTTATGGGTCGGCACGGGTGCACGGAAGGACAGACAGGTGTCATGAAAGCTAAGAAAACGGGATGGCCCAACATATGTCCACGTTACCCTACTACACTACATATAAATCGCGCCTGGTTGCTAGATCTTACTCACGAATGTTGTGCGTGGGTTCATCCTGTATAAAACGCGCAGCGGTACGCGAGGTTGACTGGCGTCAAGCACAAAGGGACGAAAAACCGCAAAGCTCAATCGCAACATTGCGATCTTCGTGCGCTCACTGCCGTAGAGTTGGTGATACTTTCAAGTACGTCTCTAAGGAGGAGACGGTTGACCGAGTCCCGACCCTCTTCGTCGTGAGGCCTGTCGCAATACTTCGTCCTCGCAAGGGCGGTGAAAGCTCGTAGGAAAGACGGTAGCAGCAGGCCGACGGCTTCAGTACGGCGGTGATCATGCCGGCCGTCTTCCACGGGCTCGACTCGTTCGCTGATGTTGGCGTTATTTCCCCATGCTTCGTGGATATCCTCTAGAGTCAACCTTGTCAAGCCCGCAACGGGAGCAACGAATTACAGCGGTGTCGTCAGCATCCCGTCGGGTGTATGCATGTACATGTTGATTCGAACGTATCCATCCGTCAACACCGGTCGCCCCGGTGGTCTAGTCTAGTGGTATCCTCGTAATCCGCTAGTCGCAGAGGTCGTGAGTTCGAATCCCCATGGCGTGAAAAATGTACGAAATGTGCGGGTGAAAGCGAAATATAGCTGACAAGCTCTCGTGAGTACCATACTTCGACGTTAAAAACGTTGACGAGGGAAAGGGACGGCTGGACCCTTCTCGCGATAAAAATAAAATTGAGCACGCGCCGCACGAGGAAGGTGGGGCATGAAAAGAAATAAAAAGAAGACAAAAAGCCCTGGTGTTGACCCCCTCCTGTGTGACCCTGGATGGTTGCAGTTTTACAAAAAAAATACATGAAAAGTGTAGTACTCTACATACGCTGAAAAGTGTAGTACACGTCTCACCACGAAAAATGGGGGGACGGTCGCCATAATAGATACGACGAAAACACAACACAAATCCGTCGCACGCTTTGCCAATATGGTACAGCAGTAAAAACCGTGTTCGCTGAATTCCTCCTACACGCTATACCTGCCGCTCAATTCAAAGATGATATAGGATTCGGCATGCAGAAATTGCGTTTTGCCACGAGGTGTCAAGTACCGACGGTGTACGGACGGTACTGCAGCTGGTGTCGGTGATCGGATTCAACTGGCCGCCCGCGGTGATTTACGTAAACCGTCCAGCGAGTCCCGTCCATTTGCCAAACTCGCCTGTTGTCGGTGGCGCTCATCAGCAGTCCAACGAACTGATCATGCTTCATTCCGAGATGGGTATCTATCTCTAGAAGCCGGAAGCACGCTGCGGGCCCCTCGATTGCCGCATGGATAGGCAGCTGGTGCTGATGCACGGCAGCGGCATCAGCAGTAGTAGTCATCATGCTTGTTCCTCAAGCTCTTGGATATTTTCTCGTCCAAGGCTCTTTGTGTTCAAGTTCAAATTCCAACCCCACATCGGATCATCCACTGTACATACATTCAGAGATAGAGAGAGCGAACCAGAGAGAACGGACGGAGCAGCCGGATAGCGCGGTCGATGCCGATGCGCCATCATCACGGGCAAATGGACAGCAGCCAGAGTCAGTGAGACAAAGGAGATTAGATTCCAGTTCAGGATGGTAGATATATTGCGGAAGATCTGATGACGTACACAGAGTCATCAGTAGGTGAGCGTCCAGAGAGCCTCGACTCGAAAAATTGGGCGATCGTCAACATCTCTGCCCGTTGTAGCTTTTGCTGCTTATGACGTCGTGCCATGCGTACGCATACCTGTAGATGCGAGCACCATGTGACTGGAATCTCGATGTGTATCCCAACGGCAAAGGAGATCCAGAAGTGATGTGTGTGACATAAAATGTGTTGTTGAACAGCAAGACGCGCGCGCGCAAGCGGCAGCAACGGATCTCCCCGACCCGCGAGATCATACATCACACATGAAATATGATAGTAGCTTGTCCCGGCTGTGGAGAATTCAAGTCCATCCACTGGTTCCAGCTCCCTCACGTGATTGGTGGTAAAAGGACATGCACTGCTGCGGCTGCATCCTGACTACAAGGTTAACCGCGGCGGTGCGTTTCTCGTTCAGTATCGTATCACGTGCATGAATACAGCAGGAGCAGTTCCGAAACACGAAAAATACATATTTGCCGTAAAGAGAAAGATACTCGAAATTTCGGCTTATATTATATCGAGTTCTCGAACCCACAGCCCGCACCACCAGTCACTCCCTCTGCCCTCTTCTTCCTCTCTTATTCGTCTGAGGTTAAGACCGCGGCTGTTTCTTGCCATCTCCTGGACGGCACGCCACGCATCACTCTTCCTCGCCACGTCAAGAGCGGTCCCCCCGTCCGTAGTGTTCTTCTGCTCCTCCCCCCCCTGCCAGTACTCCCTGCCAGCTGCACTCTTCCTCTTGTCCCTGTTGTTTTTCTGCAACGGAAGGGTTGTTACAGCGCGCCATTTTCGTGACGGACAAACGCTTCTTCGAACCGAAAGGGCAAGAAAAGGCAACGCCCACAGGAGGAAGGAGCAGCAGCAGCACAGCAGCAGCAGCACAGCAACAGCAGCACGCCCCTTTTACCTGCTCGGGAACAGGGAAGTTGCAATTTCCGTTGTGAGGCAGCTGAGCGGTCCAGAAAAATGGCTGGGGCAGTTGACGTGCAGGTTGCGCGGGAAGAGGTGTTTGAAGGCTTTGGGAAGCATGGGGCAGCAGCAGGAGCACCAGCACAGCAGCACCAGCGTTGCGGACACGCAGGAGCACCACCACTACCAGCGGCGGCAGCAGCAGTAGCAGACCAGAGCGCTCCTGTTGTTGCCAACGCACGGAGCGACGCCGTGCCTCAGGGCGAGGCGCACGTGGCCGCCGGGACGGGCGAGCCCGGCACGAGTTCATCGCTCGAGCCCTCATCAACGGAAGCGGCTGCTGTGGGCGGCATGGCATCTGACCAGCAGGGCAAGCAAGTAGGGCCGATCGTTGTGGCAAGACACACGAGGCTCGCGCCGTACAAGCCCGGCAAGATGACGGTAGTGTTAGACATGGACGAGTGTCTGCTGCACAGTAAGTTCCACGGGCCGGGGGCGGCCTCGGAGGCGTACAGACAGCTGGAGGAGCGACCGAACGCGGTCAACGAGGTCAACAGCTTTTGGGTTGCCCTCGATGATGGCGACACTGCGCAGGTGGGCTTTTGCTGAATATTGTGTGTTCACTGGTGGAAGTGAATGTTGTGGTGTCCGAATTTTTTAATTTGGCGCGTGCCTCTCTGACATCACCTTCCTGCCCCAACAGTTGCCTTGCCTTTGCACGCGGCGAGGGAAGTGTGCCCCGCCCCCCCGTTGGCGCGGCGCCGCCCTCGTTCATGTGTATAGCCCGCTCCGCACCTCTTCCGCGCACCATGTACCCTCTGTGCACATCCGACTCTTTCCTGGAGTTTTCAAAAAAGGGTTCTAATTTTTTCTGCCCCTTCTCTCTCGCCCGTTCGTTTCTTCTGCAAGTGACGAATACCTCATGTGTTGTACAAAAAAATACTACGCAACATCTTTAGGTCATGCATTGCAGCTGCAGCCACGGGCGTCTCCACACGCCTCGTGCCCTGGTAGTGCTACGTGTCTTTTTTGCTGTCTTGTTTGTTTCCTACGTTTGACGGGTCGGGACGACGCACCGAATCCCAATTTCTCTTCTATGTTTGCTGCTTGATGGTCCCGATAGGTGAACAAGCGACCTGGCTTGGACCCGTTCCTGGAAGCGTTGGCGAGAGACTACAACACAATTGTGTTCACGGCGGCCATGCCCGACTACGCCGGGCCGGTGTTGGATTACATCGACCCAAAGGGCACCCTCTTCCACCGCCGACTCTACCGCAGCAGCTGCAGACAGGTGAGGAGTGGTGTACTGCGCTGCGCAGCAGCAGCGGTTGGTGGTCTAACTACAAAGTTTTGATTTTTTTCGCTCGGCTGCGTAGGAGTCCGTTGGGTTTTTTTGTCACTTGTTGTCTCCGTCCATCTCCACGAAATATTGTATCATAGGTGTATCCAGTCCGTGCTGCTGGTAGGAAAGTACAACACCACAACCCGAGCTCGTAATTTCGTCCAACCAGCCTTGCCAGCGGTTGGGCAGGTCGGTAGGCGGCTGTACTTTTCTTTCGGGGCCTCCTCCCTTCCATAGAAGAATTTACGGCACGTTCTCCTCTCTCCAAATGTACCAGTTGTTTTCTCGACCCTCTCCCTCTCCAGCTCTCTCTCCCCCGGCCTTTATACTGCTGTACCACCACCACGACGCACAAGCCGTAAGCAACTATTTCCATGAAGACGTCCCTGGTCCGAAAAACACGTCGACCTTTTTCTCTCCCCCACCATTACCTCATGTTCTCTTTTTTAATTCAGCGGTCCTCCTTTGAAGGCTTACGCTAGCAACTTCGTGAAAACCCTTGGCCACAGGGCATCAACATCTGTGTGCCTCTGTTGTTCCTGCTGTTTTGTCGATTTGTCCACTTCGATTTTTTTTTGTTTAAAATTCTTAAGTTGGCCTTACCGAACACCGCAGTGAGCGGTGCTCCGTGGATAAAATGGCGCGTTCATTGCGTGCAAAGTCCCGCGCTGCGGTAGTCCGACGATTTGTCTTGATGAGTGTTTGTTTAGAAGTCTCAAATTATGTTTGCGCCGACGCGGTGACTGGACACATTTGTAAACGCGCAACACTCTACTTCGTAAAAAGGAAGTCTCGTGTTTACGGTTTACCTGTGTTTTTGTAGTCGACCTTTCTGGTCCTCGCCACAAAACAACTCAGTAGTTGGCAGCAACCAACCCTACGCGCGCGCATGCAATGCAGGGGACTCCTTTTTTCTAATTCCGAAGTACCTGTGACGCACGTAGATGGAGGCCACCCTGCACGTGTATCTACCCGGCGCACGAACTTCGGACGGCAGTCATGCTGCTCAAGCTTATTCACAGACTGGTGTAGGCATCGGCATAAGGCCTCACGTAATTTGTCTGTTTTCCATGCATGGGAATCTCGAATCTCGCCTAGTGCGCACACCATTCATGAGCGCTATGTTTTCCCGCTCGCCAACTAGCAGCTGCCACCTAACCCTAGCACGCGAAGTCGGGTTTGGTTTCCATCCAACAACTTGAGTCACGTCTGCGGCCTGTGCAGCTTGAATAGGCAAGCCCGCACAACTGAGTTTTATGTGCTTGCCAGCATTACCCACGGAGCCCCCCGCAAACACAACGTTGTCAAGTCAGCAGTAGCACGTAGTGGCTTGGAAGCACCATTAGTCCTCACTTCGCAGGCAACATTGTCATGTCTGTATTATTTCTGAATGGTGTCCCCCCGCCCCCTCGCCCTTGTGCCGTTGGAAATAACCAGGTGAAGGGTGCCTTCCTGAAGGACCTCTCGGTGCTCGGCGTGGAGTCAACGGACATGTCCCGGACCGTGCTGGTGGATAACAACCCGCTCTCCTTTATCTGCCAGCCGACGAACGGTATCCTGGTGGCCTCGTTCTACGACGACCCGAACGACACCGCCCTCGCCAGCGTGATGCAGCTCATCCGGCACCTGGACCAGGCTGGAGACGTGCGCCCCATCCTTAAGGACATGTTCCGCCTCGACACTCTCCTCGGCGAGTACCGAGCGGCCCTGTTCGACGACGAAGATGATGCCGACGTCGACGTCGACTGCATCCTGGACGACGATGACGAGGAGGAGGACTTGTTGGAAGGGTGTTTGGAGGCGGGGCAGCAGGAGAGAACAGAGGCGGCGGCGCCGCCCGGCCGGGACGAGAAGGGACTTCTTTTGGACGTTCTGGTGGCAGAGCAGGAGCAGCAGCAGCAGCAGCAGGAGGGCAGCGCTAACGACGACCGGCAGCAGGAGCTGCAGGGTGAAGACGTGGAGTGCCTGAAGGACGACGATGATGATGAGTCGGTGAAGACGGAGGCGTGTTCGGAGGGGTCGGGGGACTCGTCCCTGGGCGACGAGTCCCTCACCTCCAGGGAGGAGATGGAGCTCGAGCTCGAGTTCTGAGATCCATCGTCGTACTAATCTAATAATGGATCAATGTAGCACGTTGATTTAATTGGATAGACGACCTTGATGGATTGATAGATAGACCAGCCTGTCGTCCTTTTTCGCGACCTCCACTGCCGCCGTCGTGTGTGCTCGGTCCTCTTTTTTCTGTCATACTACCTTGGTTTTGCTTCGTAAGTTGGACGAGGGCGTCGGGTGTTTTTTTTTTGCTAGCGATTGCGAGTGTCTCGGCAGTTTCAAGAGGGCCCCTCGACATTGAGCCCCGATACTAGCCACGCGAAGCAAAGTATGGTGGATTTTTGGCGGAGGGCAAAACAACTGATGCGAAGCAATGGAGGGAGGGGCGGGTATGTGTGTCGTTGGTTCATGTCCTCTTCTCCCTTTTTCGCGTTCTACGATTCTTCTGGGGTGTTCTTCGGCTTTGGAAGAACTCCTAGATCAATTTTTTGATCCGGTCATGTCTGTGTGGTGTTTTTATCATCTTTGCCCATATGATGTGGTGTGGATTTTGTGGTCCGTCTGGTTCTCAGTTGTGTCGTGATTTGTTGGTTTGTTTACCTCGACGTTGTTTTCTTTTGGGGTCCGGAAATGAAACGCCGGTGTCGCCCTCTTCGCCGTCCCTCTATTTGTGTCTTTTCTCTTCGGGGACAGCTAGTGGTTGTTGGACGTTGAAGGGTTGTCGGGGGTATGAGCGAACCGAACCGAAACCCGCCGCCGCCGTAACCGCGCGCGCAACTGTGTCGGTGCCACTGACATGTTGCCTGGGCCGATCGCCCTTGGATATTGTCTGTCGGTGTTTGGCGTACTAGTGGCGTTTGTACCAAGGGCTGGCCGGCGTGACTCTTCTGTAGGTGATCAATGTTGAATTGTGTATGTGTTTCGTTTTTTCGGTGTATGTCGAGATACGAGATTTTTAGATCTGTTTATGTCCTCATACATTTTTTTTTGGGTGTGTTTTGTGTTTGCACAGGGATTTGGAAATGCACAACCAGCTCGTTGAAAACAGCGCCATAAGGGGCGGGAAGAAAACGATATCGGAAAGGAGAGCTGGGGGGTGTTGCTCTGCCGTCGTTCCTGAAAAGAGAAGAGCAATTGAGGACGGATGAAAGCTTTGGCGCTTCAAACCCGACGTGAATTAAAATGCAAGAGGGTTAGGTGTAATATATTTTTCCCCCAAGCGGCCTGCGTAATGGTACGCAATGCCAGCTGGAGGCGCGAGCGCGCGCTGTTTGATCAGCCGGGGCGTCTCGCTTTTTTCTTGCCATGTGTAGGAGTCCTGGTTTTCTTGTGGCTGAAGGTGGGGCGGGGAGGGGTGTCAAGGATCTGGGGTGGGGGTAGGTGGGCTGAGAAGGGGTGTGGAGTGTTTGTGTGCTCGTGTGTCTCCGTTTTTTTACGGCTCAGACGCAGGGTGTTCGAGCATATGTGATCGGCGTGTGTCTGGATGCTTCTTTGGAAGCTGTCTCGAAGGTTTTTCCAGACACACGCGGGTTCTGTTTACGAAGAGGAAAACCGTGGTCGGTTCTTGCCGACGACGTAAAATTGGCGCCCTGTCCCGCACGCATTCGGATGGGCCGACGAGGCGTGTTTTGATTTTGGGGGCTGTTTTGTCAAGACTTGGTAGTACCCTCCGCCTCTGAGGGACGAGGCGTTACGGTCGTCCCTCTTGGATGGGTAGTTGATTTCTTGCGCTCACCGCGCAGCAGGTGCTCGCCGTAGATAGTAGGGTACGCTTTGCTTGTTAGGCTTGATCTTGTGTGCTGATATGGGCTGTTTGTGCGAGAGCGATCCCTTGACCTTTTCCATGTAATCTTGTGTTTCTACGATGATGTAATTGCATGTTTGTTCGTCTACCGGGCGCGCGATCTAGTGTCCGCGTGACGACGTTCACAGGACTTGGAGAACGGCATTCGAACTTGATGGGTGTATCAATAGACAGCGTGACTATTGCAGCAAAGAAGTGGGGTGGAGAACATTGGGGAAGCGAGCAAAGACAAGGGGGTCATCGCGGCTTTCCCACGATTGTCGATGATGTGTTCTTTGAGTCCGGTAGGTCAAGTGTATTTTGTTTTGTTGTTTTGGTGGGGGGATCATTCTTGACTTCGACAGAGTGCTGCAGGCGACGGCACACGGTCCGTCCGCGTGCTCTTCGACTTTTTTCCTGTACGGTAATTGTTTCACTGAACAAAGACGAATGAGAGTCGAAGCACCTGGCTGTTTATCTTTGTCCAATATTTGCCGGGGCGGTCGGTTGAAAGGTTGAGAAAAGCACACGCACGTACACTCACACGGTCTCTTGGCAATTTATCGGTTTTGAGCGTCTCACGCTGGACACTTCAAGAGTGTTTTATTTCCCGAGACGCCATTGGTATACAAAACATCATACTCAATATCTGCCATCGCCGAGATGTCTACGTAGTAACAACTGTCGCTTTGTTGAATTGTTCTCTCAGTCTTGAGCTGGACAGCACAAGGGGTATTTGTACGTAGATGAATTACGTTCGTTAGCTGTGTGATGGGGAGAGTGGGGTGGGGGGGGGTCGAAGGGCTTGCGGACGCCGTGGAGTTTTAGCCAGAGCTAGGTTTGACTACGGGCGGGAAGATGACTTGAACCAGAAAATGCAAATAGCATGGGTATGCATAGGCCTGTATTATACTCATGATCATGAGAACACGACGTCGTACGTGTAGACTAGCAGTAGAATAGTGAAAGAGTGGGGTCGTGAGAGTGGATGCTGGTGCGAGACTAACCGTGTGGACCATGGGGCAGTCCGTACAAATCAACAGCTGCATGTAGTGTTGCCGAAGCAATAAAAATCAGTGCGCGGGTGATCCGTTGAATTGAAAACTGACATGTCTTGCGTTCACCCTGCGTTTCGATTCGATCTGCGATTCGTGTGTTTTCATTATCAGCACCGACCGCGCTAACCGGCTGACCAATGAAAAGACGTCAGTCTTCGTGCGGTTGAAAACACAAAACACTTCTATCTACCATGAACTGGGACCCNAAATCTGCACGTGTTTGCCAAGGCTACTACCTTGTACTCGAGCTCGTTTAGGAGTACTTTCACCATTGTCCTCCTTGTTTTCACTACCTACCATCATGATGATCCTCGTTTTGACAAGAATCTCTGGGCAGTCCTTCTCTAGCCCTACGTTTTTTCTTTTGGGTAAGGTCATCTGGCTCAAACCCTTTGCTTTCTTCCACTTCTCCATCATCGTCTTCGTCCTCCTTTCTTTCCTTCCCCTTTCCTTCGTCTACGTCACTCCCAAAAGAATGACCCTCATCACTATCGTTGTCGCTAAGACACCAACCGATTGGCCCTGGTGGAAGTTGGTCGATCAATAGCCCATGGCGTTTGAACAATTCGCGAGTTCGCATGGACAGAAAAAAACGAGCTAGCTCGAAGGTAAACCGTCTCCGAATCCTGTTAGTAGTATGAAAAGCTTTCAGGCGAACAAAGTCTCTTTCGTCGTCAAAATCCCCCCGGCAAAAAGCTTCGTGCGCCAAGTGGTTGGCGATAGCAACGATGAGTCGATTGGTGCCTTTGCCAAGACCACCATTCGTTGAAAAAGCAGCAGTAAGGAGGGTAGATCTAGACGGGTTGAAAGTTCCCGCATAGTGATTTGCCTTAC